CCCAGGAAAAAAACCCCCTTTTTTTTTTTTAAAAAAAAAAAAAAAAAAAAACTGAGCCAGCAGAGTCTTTCAATGTATAATGGGACTAAAGAAACCGTTAGCTAATTGAATGGCAGACTGGAGCATACAGAGGCTGAAAGGCCTAAGTGTGGCTGGGAAACATACACTGGAGTCTTAATTATAAACAGGAGCCTGAGCCACCTCACCTCAGGCCCTCTGGTTTCCTTACAGCAACACTCACGACTCTACAAAGGCCCTTTCTCTTCCAGCAAGTCTTTCTACGACTTGGGAGGTACTGCCTAAAATCAAGAAACCTAGTCAGGACTAGTTCACTCTGTAACACCAGAGGTCAGGAGGCTGAGGCAGGAGGACTGACTTGAGTTCAAGACCAGCATGGTCTACACTGTGAATTCCAGGTGGTTCACGCACCTTTAATCTCAGCACTTGGGAGGCAGAGGAACTCTGAATTTGAGGACAGACTGTCTACATAGTAAGTTCCAACCAGTCAGGTCCTGTTTCATACAAACAAACAAAACAACAAAAAGAACAGTGGCAGATATAAAAACAAACAAACAAAAAAAAAAGAAAAACAAGAAAGGAGGATGGAGGGAATTAAGTTGGGAGAAGCTTTGGGGTGAAGAATGCCAAGGGGAGAAATGAGGAGACTGAGAGGATGGTGGAGAGAGTCATGCAGGTATCTAACAGAAGACCAGTCAAGGCAGAAGAAAAAGCAAGGCCAAAGTCACCAGGCGGGAGAACACCTGCTTGTCTACAGAAGGGCAGGGAAAGTGGGTGGCCAGAGCAGGTGAGAACATGGGCAACTGGAGACCACGAATAATACCTTAGACCCTTGTAAAACCCTCCCCAGGGGAGGGTTGTGTGCAAGGGATGTGACCAGATCCTACTACAACAGTCCCTCTGGCTACAGGAGAAACAAGGCTGAAGCAAGGCAAAGCCAGCTGGGAAGGCTCTGCAATGACACAGGTGAGGTAATCTCACTGTCTCCCAAGAATGCAGCATCTAAGAAAACTTGGCCTGGTACTTCTCTCTGGTATTTCACTGGAAAGACCCCCAAGAGCATATCCACAAGGCTGTAGTCTCTGGGAATCCAAGGTTTACAGAAAAGGCAGGGACTGCAATTAGGGGCTAATCAAGAACACGGGTTGGTAGAAGTCAGAATCGATTAGGGCAAAATGGAACATACAATAATAA